ATATCTGGCTGTATACCAGCAGCCAAGCTGTGTGTAAAAAGAAAAATGCAGTGCAAGGATTTTATTAAATGAATTTAAGATTCTATTTTAACTTAGGTTTTAGCATGGAAAAGCTAAAACTAACGGGGGAAACTATTGAGCACTATTTGTTATAGTTATTTTTTTTAATTCAATAATAAATATCATAAACTAAGTTTTCCAAAGACACAGACCTAGGTGCCAGAGAGGAAACAGATGAGAAAGCATGGTCTCTACTTTCCACTTGCTCACAATCTAGCAGGTAATAACGGTACTAATACTAACAGCATAATAGTAATACAGCAAAGATTTATACAGTGATTATTCGGTGTCAGTCTCTGTTCCAGGTTCTGTACATTTCTAAATAACTTACAACAACCCTGTCAGTTTGGTGAGTAGGCAAGTATATAGTCATGATAATGTCACACAAGGATAAGGCACTGATTGCTCCTAGAGATTGAAGAATGCCTGTTTGTTAGAGCAGAAAGGGAACGGGATGTGCAGGACCATGAGTTTGCATAACGTCTTTGCCCCTTAAACATGTACTTTGGAGCTCTTTGCTATTTAGTTTTTACATCAGTTAATAATACTGTCACTCTGTTAAGGCTGCTATAACAAAAATACCACAGACTTGGTGTTTAAACAACAAGCATTTATTTCTCACAATTCTGGAGGCTGGGAAGTCCAAACTCAAGGCAAATTCAGTTTATGGTGAGGGACTTCTTCCTGGTTCATAGACAGCTGTCTGCTCACTTTATCTTCATGTTGCAGAAGGGTTGAGGGAGCTCTCTGGGGTCTTACTTATGAGGGTATTGATACCATTTATGAGGGCATCACCCTCAAAATCTGATCATGTCCAAAAGGCCTCATCTTCTAATACTGTCACCTTGGGGATTAGGATTTCAACATATGAATTTTGGGGAAAACACAATTATTCAGTCAAAAACAAATATTTATCTTGTATTTTTAAAAATGCATATTAAAGATATGTATAAAACTCCTTGTTCATTGTTAGCTTTCAATATAAAGAAGTTTTATTGCTTACATAAGGGGATTATGGAAACACTCATAATGAAGGTGGTGGTCTCTAAAAGATTTCAATAAGAAGAATGACAGAAAAAGTTATATGACAAAGAAGGAGCAGCAGATGATATGTGCTGGAAGCAATAAAATGTGCTGTTTATAGTGAATAATTAATTTAATTGTAGTAAAAGGGGCAGGAAGAAAAGGGATGAGCATTTAGTCTGGAAAAATATTGTAGATGCTGATCATAAAAGTCATAAGTATGAGCTTATCATTTTGGTCTCCTTAGATCAGAACAACTGCCTGCCTGTTTTTGTCCAGCCCATGAGCTAAAGATAGTTTTATATATATATTTTTTTCCTTTTTTGTTTTGTTTTGTTTTTGTTTTGTTTTGTTTTGTTTTGTTTTGTTTTGTTTTGTTTTGTTTTGTTTGCTTCTGGCTGGTAGGGATCCGAACCTCTAACACCTTTAACAACATGCTCTGACCAACTGAGCCAAATGGCCAGCCTTATATTTTTAAATGATTGAAAAAAAAAAATCAAAGGAGAAAGAATGTGTTGTGACATGTGAAAGTTATACAGAATTTAAATCTCAGGGTTTATAAATGAAGTATTACTGGCATTAGGCACACTCATTCATTTACATGTGGCAGAGAACATATGGCTGCAAAGCCTGGTATTTACTACCTGGCCCTGTATGGAAAAGGTTTTCAGACCCTTGCCTTAGATATAATTTTTTTTTGATCCTAAATTTCATCATTCTTCATGAAAAACAATTTAAAGAACCTTATTTCATAGTTTGGGAACTAATATATCAAACAAGCTGCTTCTCTCTTTCAGTGTCTCTGATACAGATGTCACTTAAAGATCAAAAAGCAGCACCTAGAGGTGCTGGAATGGCTCTATGGCGTCAATAGTTTGGGTCTGTGTGGGTCATATTTTATTTTAAAGTCTTCTTAATCCTACTTATTGCTTGATATTGTAGGTTATAGCATGAGCAGTGTTTTAGTTAAATTTCCACATATGTGTAGTCTCCAATTGTAGCTTCGAACATCGAAGAGAATATTTAGACATTACTTTTATTTTCTTCCGTTTGCTTCTCCAGTGTCTTTTCTCAATTGTTATTTTAATTTTTTTCAACTATACTTCTTATAATTAAATCTAATAGTTGTGGAATGTATTGCTTATATAGAAATCAATAATGAGAAAGAAAAACAGAAATTAAAATTCTATTGCAGAAATGTTTTCTTCAATTTGTTTAACAATCCTATTCATTACCCTACTCTCCTTTGAAAACTAGACCTCTGGCTTATCCTGATATGCTCTGAAAATCATTTTTTGTAGCAATTCCTTTTGTCTGTAATCTTGATTCATAGCCTTTCATATGAATTCTTTTATTGCTCTCTTTTCATAATAGCTCTTAGGCAACCAATCATCATGAATAATACTGGGTTTCTTCATGACTTTGTAGCATCCAGATGTCTGTAGCTCATGTTGCTGCCTTTTAGACACATTTGAAAAATAAAAAAGGTGCTATAAAATAATTGCATTTATTTCTGCAGCAAGTTTTAAATTATTCTTCCATAAGCGAGACAAACTTTTACTTGAATACAGAAATATTTACTATCCCTTTTGGTAATGTTGAAAACCTGAAGGAGTAAAGGTTGCTGTAGTTTTGCATTGATCTGAAAGGAGATGGCAAACAGGAATTTTAACACATTCTATTGTATATAGGCACCTAATATTTGAATATAAGGTTTCTCTTACAGTTACTCATTTTTATATGAAGTATAAGAGCAAACTGAGAAGGTTATTATTCAAAATGTTTATGAGTGTGTTTAGGTTTTTCAGTACTTGCTTTTAGGTAGATAAGGATGCTTTGCTTTATTCTTAGCTCTCAAGTTAAATGTTGAATTTCATGTATAGGCCCAAGACAATTTTAGTGACTAGGGCAGATTTCTTAAAAGAAGATTTGCATCAAAATTACCGGATGAACCTTTTAAAAATAAATATGCTTGTGCCTCATCTTGGATCTGCTGAATCAAAATCCTCTTGGAAGGGGCCAGGTGAGTACTAGTAAGTTCCCCTGTTGGTTCTGATTCTCACCTTTGGTTGAGAACCATTGGGCTAGACCTAGTCTTAGACAAAAAATAAACAAAAAAAGCCACTTCGTAAAAATATCATTAAACTTGTTAATAAGATGTTATTTATGTCATTCTTTACCATTAAAAATGCCCCAACATCTTCCCCCATTTCCCACTTTGGCCATCAGGATTCTCTGGGTCAAAGGTATACTTCAATTTTAATGTTCCTGTGGCTCAGATATTTGTGTTCTAGTTTTTAGGGTTTCTTTTTTTCTTTATAATTCAACGAGAGTTTATTGAGACTGGTGAATAAGACAGATATTAAATAAACATTTCAATAGGTTCTCTCTGATCTAGATATTGTAAACTTATTTTGTGTATTGACTTATATGTTTTCCCCTTGTATTAACTGGAGACGAGCCATGGAATCTCGTTATGTAATATTTGTATTTATGTGCAAGCACACATAAATATATAGGTATGTAATGTGTATATATATATATTTTGTGTTATGATGGTTTATGTAAAAAGTAGTGTGTATACTATTTATAACAGGTCATCAAAAAGTTCATGGGAAGATTTGTATCACCCTTTTAATTCTTTTTTTACACAAACTTTTTGAAGTACTGTTATATATACTATAATGTATATTATATGCATAGTATAGTATGTATATATATATTTTTTATCTTATACTTATATAACTACCATTTTTTAAAAATTCTGATCTACATCACATCCTTCGTGGGATGAGTTGTAATGTATTCATACCTACATATGCATACACACCTATGGCCATATACATAGTGGATAAATTCTAGATGAATTTGGACTATAGTTCTCCCTATTACATGTTAGCTCATTTTTCTTAATGTTTTTTGTTAAATACCAACAATAAAATAAGTGTGTGTTATATTTGAGAGTGTTTCTGTCAACTTCTTAACTATTTTTAACCCTTTTTGTTTTATATCATTAAATGTAAAGAATATTTGGGGATAGTTTTTTATTGGTGAGATTGAGATTGAAATTCATAAAAACTATTACTCTCTGTATCCACTGAAGAAAAGCAGCATGTTATTGTCATGAACCACTTCTACATCTTGTGTGCATAGTTCCTTTTTTCACAGAAGGTGATTCACTAGTGCAATATGTAATTATTTTCACGGCATTTTAAAGCTCTCATGTGGTTTCACTCGGTCACTATTTTTGAGGAAAATCTTAGCATGTTAGTACTCTTGGAAAATTAGATACAGAATAAAGATTCTGAAATATAACCTTTAATCATCTAATTTAAGTAAAGAGAGAGTTAGCATAGGTTGATGGAGGAATAATGAAGGCAGAAATGATGTGCTTTACTGAGAAGAATCAGCTGCTTTTTCAGACTTAACCTCAGTATGTCACTCCTGCCACTGCATTTTGAGCATCTGGGAGCTCAGGGTTCTTATGCTGTCCCTTAAATCTTTGACCTTTTAAATAATGAATTCAATGGAAAGTTATATTTTTCTTTCTTTTTACTGTGCACCCCTGGGTAGTGTGATTAAATGACATGGTTGAGGAATATTACATTGATGTCACTGTTGGAAATGATTTTTATATCTGATTAGCTGTCTTTTAAATAACATTCTAAAGATCTGCATCTGTCCATGCAATGTATGGCAGCAGAGTGAATTAAGTAACTCAAAAGCACTTACCACTGTTTATAAGCCAAAAAAGGAGCAAGGATTCTGACTGGCATTATTATTTATTATTTTTGAATGCTTATGGTAAATTTTCATGGCAGAGTCCTTTCTATGCTATTGACATTCATAAATGAAAAGGCTCTGCTTTGCTGACTATTTAATTGGTAATTTAATTTTCCTAATAACTTTCTTTATAGGAACTGGATTTTGAAGCCAAAACAAGTTACACGCTAAGGATAGAAGCTGCAAACAAAGATGCCGACCCTCGCTTTCTAAGTTTGGGGCCATTCAGTGACACGACAACCGTGAAGATAATTGTGGAAGATGTGGATGAGCCCCCTGTGTTTTCTTCACCCTTGTACCCCATGGAGGTGTCAGAAGCTACCCAAGTAGGGAATATTATTGGCACTGTAGTGGCCCATGATCCGGATTCTTCCAATAGCCCTGTAAGGTAAAAAGTTCGTCTTTCTTTTTCTAAAATTTTGTACCAATATGCCTTTTATTGACAACTCATGTTCCTACATTGTTATGCTTTTTGTTCACAGCAAATGAAACCCGTTTATATATGTATTGAGCCATAGGAGCAGAAGTAAAACAGAATGAGGACAACACAACATTTTACTTATCCAAAAACGTCACCTGATTATTTAAGGCCATCATTATGTAGCAATATTTTTAGGCATCCATTGTTATCCACAAGCCATAGCTGATGTTCCTGTTCAGCCAATTGTCCTGAATTTCTTTCAAAGCAAACTATGATGAAAAATAAAGTGATGCATATCTTAGTTGTAGGTTAAGTTCATATGTTAGGAAAATACTTGCATTAGCAATTTAAATTATGGATTCATTTTTAAGCAAGTCATTTTTCACAGTGGCTTATTTGTATGCATGTGTTTGAGTGTGTGTGCACACACACATGCATACACGTTATAAATTATCTTTATCTTTTTGAGTGAATTTTATAAATAGAATATACTTAAAAGAAAATGGGCATTGTAGTACATACTAATTTGGGTTTGTAAGACACTTAAATTTTCAATGTGAAAGTTTGATTTTGATTACAAAGTCGATAAGGTAAAAAAAATCAATGGTTGTTTTATATTCAGATATGTTCAGCTTATTAACGAACCTCAGACTTTTAGATTTAAATGATATTTGACATGGTGAATGCTTTTGACCTAACTTTTGAGCTAAGTCAGGGTATTGACTACAAAGTATCATGACAGTATCTATAACTTAGACAATAATTCTTATGAAATCAAGCTCATATGAAAAACTCATAATCTCTTTTCTTTCTATAGTAATATTATATATACTTTAATTATTACATATAATATTTTATAAATCTATATACATTTTTACAATATTATATGTAATGTCTTAAAATCATTTTAATACAATAATTTATATATATAGTAAGTGTCCTCCTTTCCTTTTTATTTTCCCTAACATTAGAACTTAGCAAAGAACTGGTATAGAATAAAAGTTATTTAAAAATTGAAGTCAGAACTCATTTTTTCCCTACTTATACAACAAATTCAGGATTCATGGGTGGCTGTACTATTTTTAATGTGGCAATAATAAACCATTTCTAAGAGTACAATCTTCTGTGCACTAAAATATCTGAGTCACAAATGTACAAGATGCAGTAAGACTCCCCTTCTTCCCTATAATATCTTGGCCTTCATTTTTCAAAATACTCCTCTTAAGCTCAGCCCCACTCACGAGTCATATTAACTTGGGCAAACTTGAATTTGGGTTTTGTTAAACATTCCATCTCTTGCTGAACCACATAAGTCTCCTGCCCTCATTAACCATCAACAACAGCACAATTGTAGGCAAAGAGTAGCTACTTGGGAGGGTTTGACTTCTGCTTAAATCATTTAATTTAGTGGGGAGAAAAAGAGGCATGCTTCCATGCAGCTGGGAATATAAAGAAAGACATAAACAGGCTAATCATAATTTAATGCTAAAATTAATGAAGGTATTTAAGAACATTTTGATTATTACATTGATATTTTTATCTCTTTTCTTATTTTTCCTTTACCCACTGCTGTGTGTGCCATCCTGTTGAAGTCTTTCTGAGAAAATATTTTATTTTTGTGTAATATTTTGTATGAAGAAAAGTAACAGTAATATTATATTTGTGGATGGAGAAAGAGTAGTCCCAAGTAGATAGAGACTTGAGTTAGAGAGGGATGAATTGATCTTTGTATCTCTTCTGTAAAGCACGGAGATAGAAAGGACCAAATGCTAACTCTGTTGATTCTGGAGGTTAGGATCTCCGTGGCCTTTATCAATGAGAGAATAGCGGTCAGCAGCATTTTTTTACCTCATTTTCATTTTCTTCAAAGTACTAAAGGTGACCTGAAAATTCATCTTAATATTACTTAACATCACTGTCTCACAGATAGAGAGATACACTTTGTCCCAAGGGAATTAAAATATTACTTTGTATGTGTGAATTTTTTTTGGCTTTTGTAAAATTTATTAACTTATGTTTAATATTTCTACACTTGAAAAATTTATTTTACATTATTTACATAAGATTAGCACAATCATTCATTGATTATATTTACTTTTTCTGGTTTGTCTGTCATATATTTCTCTTCTCTCACCATTTACGATATCCTTTAAGAGGTCAATCTCCTTATTTTATAGTTTGGTGATTATATGTTTACTTTGTGCATCCTCTGGAAGACTGATTCTCCAGAACTGCTATGCGTTGAGTGGCCTAAGGGATGTCACTTAACCTCCAAAGTTCCTATATAAGCCATCAAAAAGAAAAAAATAACTCCCAAGTTTTTCCAACAATTAAATAAGAATGGGGAAGTTATTATGCTTTTAAACTACGACTCATGACTTAAATATTAGTATGTGTTATCCTTATACATTGCTATTATTATAGATTGTGTTTTCATGCCATTTTTATTTCAAGGGCAATATAGTCAATGAAAGGAGATATATTGCATAGGCAACCTTATCGGCAATCTGTATTGAAGACTGTTTTATACTCACATATATTTCAATATATAGAAAATATTACATGGTTTTTTGATGAATAAGAACATGTGCTTGCATTGGGCACTCAAGTAATTATCAAAATGTAAATCCTCCTTCACCATATACCAGTAAATGGATGGGCAAATAGCACTGTCTTCTGAGGTACTAGAAAAAATGAAACTAGAGATTGGGATTTGTGTTTCTACACCTTTAGAAATATTGTAGTTCTTTGAAAAAGCAGTATTTGTTTCATTGTAATTGTTTAAAATTAGGCCAATAGTATCTGATTTGTAAAACAATGTGAGTGATTGCATAATTAGTTTTGAATTTATTGACATCCTTTGTAGTAAAATACCAAAATCTAGCATGTTTCATTTATTTTTGAAATATTTACTGATATATGGGGCAAAAGATTAGAATTGTAGAAGGAAATGTATTTACTTGCCTCCGACAAGGCAAAATTGAGTTAGAGGGAGATGAATCGATTTTTATATCTCTTCCTACATGACCCCTGCCTTGCACAGCACTTTTAAAAATGTTTTACCTACTCTACTAAAGCACCACCCAAATGGTATGCATAACTCTTTCCTATACATCGGGCCTTTCCTTAAAAGAAGACTGGAGCACCTAAACCCACCAATGGAACCTTACCATTTTGACTGTTTACAAGTATAGTAGTCACAGTTGGAAAGATGAAATGAACCTGGTACCCAGTTATTAGCCAGTACAAAACACCATTGTCAAATGTTACGTCTTTATATAGTTTGCCCACCATCCAGATAGCTTACTGCGACCAACATTTCATTTATACTTTGCTTTGCTCTTTTCCCATATAGAAACTAAAATTGCAATAGCATGTAAAAATTAGCTAATACTTGAGATTACTTAGACAGAAGAGAGAGAGAGAGAGAGAGAGAGAGAGAGAGAGAGAGATTTAAAGCAACAGTGGGTAATTAAGGGCACACATGTTTCTGGCTTATTTTTTTTTTTAGTAGCTGTCTACAATTTTATATGTTTTGGCCCTAAATACTAAATATCAAGCTTTATCTATTGAACTTGGAAAGACAGATTGTGGCCTGCTGTTTCTGATCACCATTCTGAATGGTAGAAACTTCACTTACGCGTTTCTTATCCAAGCTGGTAAAAACTGTAGGGGCAGCCTGGAGTCTAGAGGATTCTGGACTCATTCCTCACGTCAGCATTGGCAGACTGATCAATGACTCGACATGCATTTATTAAGAACCTATTTTGTGCAAGACACCTGAGGGAAATGCTGAAAAGAAAACAAAGATGAATAAAACATTTCCTCTGACCTCAAGGAATTTGTAATCTGGATGAAGTAATGAGATCCCATAAAAGTTAAACAATATGAAAAAAAAAATGCTAGTCCTGTAACATGGAAAATTGTAAGATAAATAATCACTCCAAGTTCACTGGACATGAGACTTCATTTGATAGCATAAGGAGGGATTTGAGGGACAAGTCAATAAAACATGCAAAGTATGTTTATGTTTTATTTAGTTATATCCTAAAAGTCTGGTACTAAATTATGAAATCAGCAAATGTATTTCTGTTGGCAGCACAGCAAGCCCAAGGTCCCTATGCCAAAAATAGCCAATGAATTGAAACACGATAGTATTGCAAATAAGATCAAATATAAAAACAGGTGAATAAAAAGGAATAGCCATCATTTTCAGCATTTCTAACAATTCAAATATAGAAATACATTTACATGTATGTTCAAAGACACTTGGATAGTATTTACCTGTAGGCTCTTTGGGTATTTTCTTAGTATTGAAAGTCCTCAGATAAAATGTGGTAACATAATATCAGCAATTACATTACGTAGTGTGACTAGTATAGACCCAATTGGGGTGTCTGAATAATTCAGTGTGTATTTTTTAAGCAGCTTGTATACATGTATATATTTGTACATATTATTCTAAATTATTTGTGAATTCTTGATTTTCATAGGAAACTTAGCAAGCCAGTAATGTACAGAAAAATAGGGTTAGCAATAAACTAGTTAATTTTAAAAGTAGCAGAAATCTCCATGAGGATAACATGAGCTGTACTTCAATTCAAAATGCTGCTCATTTTAACATAAATATCACTGAAAATGAAAAATATATATATGTTCAGATATGGTAAAAACATAAAATGTGTTTTTGGTAGACTAGTGTATTTACTATTCAGAGATAATTTTCAAAAACTAAGTAGGAATTGCCTAATTTATTTCAGCCAATTTTTCTATCTTTTATTATATCACTCTAGAATTAGAACTTTGCTCTCAGCAAAAAACTTCCAAGTTAAATTTTTGGAAGACTCCAGGTAAAATGAATTTATTAAAGATACATTCTTCCTGATTTGTTCCTCACAGTATTTTCCACAACTAAAATATTTAGTGAAAAGTCAGGTTAGTAAAGGAATACAAAAATCCGCAATCTTTTTGGTGTAAATCATAGGAAATTATACATGAGGTTGAAAGATTAGGGAGCTAATCCTTATTTATGTTGTACTGTCCTATTGGAATGCTTTAATAGCAATCAACAGAAATTGGCCACAGTTAATTGAAAAAAAAAATAGGAATTTATTGAAATAATTTGGCAT